CTTCTTTTACCTTCAATAAACTGAACTGAATTGAAAAACGGAGAAGCAAGGGAGGTGGCCCTCGCGACAGGTTATTTTTTAATGTCGTTGCTGAGGTCATCTTGCGTAGAAATCGGCATGTTTTTATCAGAGGTTTCGTCTCCGTTGGCCTGTTGTTACTAATGCCCGCGTCTTTGCTTACTGAATCGCTCTTGGGACGACGGTTTTCGCACCCTTTGAGTTTTGCGTCCCGGTTTTTGATTCTTACACTGGCAACCACCTTCTGATCATTACAGTTAGACTGCATGAGCGCCCTCAGGTAATCAAGCACCTTTTCAAGTTTTTCGACTTCTATCAAGATACATTCACATGCGACACAAGGTTAATCCTCGCACCCCACACTTTCGGTGTAATTACGCTTCTGACGCCGTTTGTTGCTCATTGACTGAGAGGATAAATAGAACGAGCTCAAATCATGGATGCGAAGGCCATTTCATCAGACTTCTCTTCTAGCGAGTTGTTGTCGCTGGTCGTGCTGTTGCCGTTACATTACTGAAACTCCATAGATGTTGGGATAGAAAGTGAATATATTTTCGCTTCCGAGTTTATAACAAATACTTCGGATCCTATAGGACTCCTAATACCACTGCTTCTACTGACACTGTTACAATAGTCGCCGCTACTAATGCTTCTTCTACTACTAACGATGTAAAAACTATTTGGATTGCCATCAACGCCACCACTTCGTGCGTCATGCAGTCCCATTGCACCGTTTCGAAGCAAACCAGGAATCGTTTACCCTCAAGTTTATTTATGTCCATCTCTCGCCGTGCAGCTCGATCCACCCGTCAAAACGTCCGTAAGTATTGCAGATCGGAAATGCAGTTTCGCATGCTTTTACATATATGAATTGAAGCCTGTAACTAAATTCCAAAATTTAACCCAACACTTCCAACTGCAACTCCCGAGACCACTTTTTACCCTAGTCATAACAAATAGGCACAGGCTCCACATTAACCCGCCTGCCTCTAACTTGGAACCGTAAATCCCAAAAATAAGTTCAAGAGCAAAGTTAAAGGGAGGCATTGAATCATTTTAACCTCTATATGCACCATCCACATACATTATCATAATTTGAAAGCGTTGTGCAGCTAGTTTTTTGAATAGTCCCTAAAGTCTTCCTTATAGAGCATGCTGTCTTTTTGCATTGCTGCTTTATTTATTCTGATAAATAAATAAATTGTTTTATTGAGTTTCCTTGGGGGTGCTTTCATAACATGTAAAAATATATTTTCAAGTGAATTCTAGAACAATGAGACCGACTCTGTAGTATTCAGTCCGTGCTCATAGAATATGCAGTCAAATGTTAAAAACAGTCAGCGGCAGTGAGAAGAACACTTCTTTTGAAAAAAAGAGAAAATGCATGTGAGTTGATTAGTTTTAAAGGAGAAAAAACTGCCGCTCATTGGAGGGAAAATGAGTGGGTGGGACGGGACTGACCTGCATATGATAGTGTATAAGGGATTTGAGAAGCAGAATTCATAGACCGAAGGATGCTGTTAGGGTCAAAGTGGTGGGACGAGAGGAAACCAAACGCGATCGGTTGCAGTCTGTTTAGAGACCAGTCGAAGATGAGACATAAAAGGGTGAGGCAATCATCAAAACGTACAAGGAGACGCAACCACAACGCTTCCTTGCTGCCGACCAAGCTACTAGCAGATGGCGAAGACAGAGGAGTCCGTCGCGATCAACAACAGACCGCTTGCGGTTAAAATAAGGAGGTGACAGCCAAAATCATCGCTACAGGGGAGGAGTTAAAACAGTAAATTTAGTAGCCAAATAAAAATAGGGAGCTGTGCCTCCTAATAAGACTACTATTACGACTTATTTTATCGCAACAGCAGCAAACGTTGAACCAACGCCTAGCATAAACCGATATTTAAATATCCGTTGAAGGTGAGAGAAATGGACACGAGCTACCGATAAGGGTTTTCCAGTAGATGTCATATTTTTTGACTTCAAGAAGGCCTTTGACAGTGTCCCACACAGGCTTCTTTTGCAAAAGATCTGGGATGTAGGGATTCAAGGGAGAATGTTTAAGTGGATCAGGAGTTTTCTGTCCTCCAGACTACAAAGAGTCCTCGTTGGTAATTGTACCTCGGAATGGGTAAAGGTGGAAAGTGGTGTCCCACAGGGTTCTGTCTTAGGCACAGTACTCTTCCTGATTTATGTTAATGACTGCATCAGCGAAGTGAATTGCGAGGCTCTCATGTTCGCGGATGACATAAAAATATGGAGTGAAGTCAAGTGTGATGATGACGCAGAGAAGTTGCAGTCGAACATCAACAAACTGTGTGCTTGGTCGAACAGATGGCTTTTGAAGTTTACGTGACCAAATGCGTGGTTTTGCACCTGAACACCGGCCGCAATGCCTCTTCCAAACACCAGTACTATATTGACGGGACGAGGTTAGAAACTGTGGAAAGACACAGAGATCTGGGCGAATGGACGACCACAAATCTATCGCCATCAGAACACTGCAGAAAGATGGTCCAGAAGGCAACTAGTACTCTACACTGGATCAGACGTGCATTTAAAATATTTCCTCATGAACTCTTCGAAAGACTCTTTGGTGTCTTTGTAAGACCTCATCTAGAGTATGGAATGCCAGCAGCTTCACCATGGATGAGGAAGGATATCAACTTACTCGAACAAGTGCAACGCAGAGCGACAAAGATGGTCGACGGTCTAAAGCATTTGTCTTATCAGGAGAGGCTAAATTTGCTTGGCCTATTCCCTCTCTCTTATAGACAAATAAACTGCAGTCTACTCTGGACGTTCCGGATTGTTCGCGGCCAGGGTTGCTCATTAAGGGCAGAGGACTTCTTTGAGTTCGCCCGTACAAACCAACTACGCGGCCATGCATTCAAAGTCGGGAATGAGCGAACACGTTTAGACCGACGAAAATTTTCTTTAAGCCAGCGAGTTGTCAGGCCGTGGAACTCGCTTCCAAGCGAGATGGTGACGGCTGACACAGTTTGTGTGTTTAAAAGAAAACTTGCTCGTCTAGTTTTCGACAGAAATCGGATTGTACAGCATGACTATGCACAGCCAGTTTTGTAAAATCTGTCATATACAATCTTCCGCACTAATTTACAGTGACCCCATGCACTACCTTATGATTACGATTGACCTGTGACCGAATCACATTTTAAATGCCTACAATTTAATTTTATTTTTGAGTATGAATCTGCGAAAGCACTGTACATAAATAGGGTCATCAAGGGCTCTGCCTGTAACCCTTCAATATACATATACATACAAAAGAATACTGCTTGCTCTTGTGGATTCTCTAGCTTAATAATTGTTTTCTCACTTTCTCCACAAGTCATAACTCTCATCCCTTTTTGTTCACCCTTTCGGCCGAATTCTTCATTATTTATCTGTCATGGATAGTTTTCCATATGGCTGTTTGGTAGGGCTATGATATTAGTGTGGGTAGGCTTCGTATATGAGACTGGTTACTGCATTTATTTAAGTGGGCGTTGTTCGATTACGTTCTCACTCCTTGACGGTAAAGCTTTGGCTTCGGCTTGTCCTACTGCCTTCAACGGCATGTGCAAACCATTCTGCAATCAACCGCTTCCAGTACCAGGCGTTGAAGAAACGTTTGGATGGACCTATTATACTGCTTCCAAAACCCAAAAGTTTTAGATGTAAGGCAAAAGGTTTGTGCGTGGTCAACGGCATCCTTGTGGCGTCCTATTATCCGCATTCCACCGCTGACGTAGTTACCGGGTCCAGGTAGTCTTTACTTGACCTTCGCCGTTACCTCATGTACCTGCGTCAGTTACGCTCTTGTGCACTTTAATAACACGTCACAAGCAGAGAAGTTGAAATTGCTTTATGCAAATAAGAATTTAACAACTGAGAAAATCTTATGCTGCCTACCACTGTAATCCCGCTTAACCGACGCCGGGCTGTTGCACGGGGTGCACTTCAGTGATGTGGGATAGAAAGGTTTCCCATTCTTCTTTCAGGCTGACAATGTTAAGTCCAAAGCATAAACGATACTGAACTTCGTTATTGTGGGCTCAAACGGCTCGGCCTTACACCAGCCCTCTTTCATACAGTCTTCTTTCAGGCGATTCCAGTACGCTTCAACTACATTCATATGCTTGCCCATAGTTGTATCCACAAAATTCTGACTATGATTTGCCGTGTAATGCGTATATCCTTCAGACGGAAGGCGTGTGTAAGCTCTCCGTTTGTCCACCAAAATCACACTCCCTTTGGCCGCCCAGTTCGTTATTACGGGCTTGAAGGTTTGCTAGGTACTGTTGTTGACGTACTCGAAAACTCCTCTCTTCTGCTTCGTATCGTATATTCCGAGCAGTCAGACTTGTCTTTTTGCATACCGACTTTGCACTTTCCGCGCTCCCCAGCGTTCCATCAATCTGCACTTCCACTTCCGGGAAGCCAAGCGGCCTGGCTTGGCCATGGAAGGTCACGGAGAACACATTTCATATATGCTGTACCGATACACTGCCGTCGCATGGCGAGCCCACATTTCTCCTTGGCTTTGCCTCGCTCTGGCATCTTTTATGAATGGCAGGCAGATTTGTGCTGAAGTACTTGACTACTTGACCTTTGACAATCTTGTCACGTTTGTTTTACTGTAGCATTTGTTTTAACTTGACGAATACACCGCCGCTTGTAAGCTTCGCGCTGCTTGCATGCTCTCTGGTCAGGTCGTTGCACATTTTAAATATTAACTTTATTCACTTACTGGCATTTCTTACCTCTCTCCGTTTATGAGGTTAGTAAGCCGTTGTTCGTTAGTTCGCAGGAACGACATAATTTACGTCACTGGTGACTCCCGACGTTAGCGCAGACTTAAGTTCTTTCCTTCTGTAACATTTAATGACATTTAACGTCCTGTATCTATTTGCTAAACTTTAGTTCATTTACATTTCCCGCTAACCTTTTCACGATATTGTGCTATCTATATTTTGCTTATCATGTCTTCCTCAACTCAACAACCTGACGTTCCTGCCGAGTCTGTTCATACCGTCCATTTCACTTTGCCTGATTTCTGGCAACACGCCCCCGGACTTTATTTTATCTGCATTGACTCAGCCTTTTACTACGCCAAAATTACGAAGGAGTTGTCGAAATACCACAAACTTGTGGAGGTTCTCCCTGCCAATATTATCTCACAAGTTCAACCCTTCTTAGTGAAACCCCCTTCAGACGCTCCCTATTCTGCTCTGAAGGCGGAAATCCTTCGTCTCACTGCTGTATCTGACCGACAACGCTACCACCAGTTGATCAAGGAGGAATCACTGGTCGACCGGAAGCCCTCAGAACTTCTCCGACGAATGCGTACTCTCTTAGGAGACATGCAGGTCGACGAGAAACTCGTTAAAAAGATGTTTCTAAAGCGGCTGCCTGCAGATGTCCAAACGATTTTGGCATCCGGCTCGCAAGACCTTACACTTTCACATCTTGCTGAAATGGCAGACCGAATGATAGAGATTCAACGGCTCCAGCCACCTTCCGTTGCTCAGATTTCCACATCTTCTTCAACGGTTAACGAGCAGTTACTGAAACAGATGTAGGCTATGGCGAATGAGATAGCCTCCCTAAAACTACAGCTTGCTCGCATTACCTGTAGTCGCTCACCCAGCCGTCATCGTTCACGTTCGCGACCTCGCACAGCCAATTTGTGTTGGTATCACGCAAACTTTGCCGTCAAGGCTCGCAAATGTTCTTCCCCTTGTTCATTTAAACCGAAACAAGGAAACCAGCCAGCCAGAGAATAGACGCGACCGTTTTCTCTGGCTCTCCCAGCTCTGGTCGCACCTTTTATGTCTGCGACAATGTGACTCGCAGGCGTTTCCTGTTGGACACCGGAGCCCAGATCAGCGTGGTTCCCCCCAATCCAGTTGACCGCCGCTCTCCCAGCCCTGGTCTACATCTCCAAGCTGCAAACTGTTCCTTCATTTCCACTTTTGGTAGTCGTTCCCTAACGCTAAACATTGGTTTACGTCGATCATTCTCCTGGATATTTGTGATTGCCGATGTGCCTCATGCGATCCTTGGTTCCGACTTCCTAGCCGAGTTTGATCTCCTTGTTGACTGTCCGCGTTTCTGTCTCCTCGACCGCACAACTGGTCTTTCTGTCCGCGGTCTTACACCCTTTGATGACTCCTGCAATTTATCTGTTCTGGACATAGGTATTGCTTGGCCATACCAAGACCTGCTCCTCCAACACCCCAACATAATCAAACCCCAGTTTCGCAGTGGTGAGATACAGTACGACGTTGTCCACCACATTCGCACCTCTGACCCCCCAGTATTCGCACGGCCTAGACGACTGGCTCCGTCCAGTCTGCAAGCGGCGAAGGCCGAATTTGAGCACATGCTGCAACTGGGCATAATTCGGCTGTCCGAGAGTCCATGGGCGTCCCCTCTGCATATGGTGCCCAAGGCGACATCAGACGACTGGCGGCCCTGTGGTGACTATCGCGCCCTCAACAATGCGACCATCCCGGATCGTTATCCCGTCCCTCATCTTCAAGATTTGGTGGAGCTCTTTTCGGCAAATCGGTTTTCTCGAAGATTGACCTTGTTCGGGCCTTCCATCAGATTCCTGTCGCTCCTAATGATGTTCCCAAAACTGCCGTCACCACACCATTTGGCTTGTTCGAATTTATTCGCATACCATTTGGTCTTCGCAATGCTGCCCAAACATTTCAGAGGTTCATTGACCGAGTCCTACGTGGTCTCCCGTTTGTGTACGCCTACATCGATGACCTCTTGGTGGCCAGTCGAAATGCCGAGGAACACAAAGAGCATCTTACCTTAGTGTTTGACCGCCTCGATCAGTTTGGCGTGGTCATTAACCCTTCGAAGTGTGTTCTGGGTGTGCCGTCCCTTGATTTCCCTGGTCACCATGTCGATGCACAAGGTTTGCGTCCCCTCTCTTCCAAGGTTGAGGCCATTCGTGACTTTCCTCCACCAACCTCCAAGCGTCAGTTGCAACGTTTTCTTGGCATGGTAAACTTTTATCGCCGGTTCCTACCGAACTGTGCCGACCTTATGCTTACACTCACCAACTTGCCCTCTGGTCCCAAGGGTCCCTTGAGTTACGTGGCCACGCGCTGACTGCTTTTGAGAGAATAAAGACCTCCCTTGCTCACTCATCCTGCTTCAGAAGCCCCATTGTCCCTGATGGTTGATGCTTCGACCGTTGCCGTAGGAGCAGTCCTCCAGCAGCATATCAACGACTCGACACGACCGTTGACATTCTTCTCCAAGAAGCTTTCACCTGCCAATCTTCGTGGTCACTCGATGAAGTTACGGACAACAATGTCCAGGCTGAATCTCCGTTCTGCATTTTTCACGCAGAGGGTAGTGGAGAAATGGAACGATCTCCCTCAGTCAGTCGTGGAGGCTACATCCCTGCAACTCTTCAAGAAACGCTTGGATGATTATTTGTGTCCCCTGTTTTCCCTCGACAGTCTGAATCTGAATTAATACACCTGGTCCAGACAAATATTTTATCCGAGACAATGCTACTCAAATGAACCAAGTACTGTTTTAATAGTGAACATTTTTTGTTCGTGTACAGTTATTCTAAAGAGCTGACATGTAATCAATAGGGTTTTCAAAGGCTTTGCCTATTATCCTTACCAAATAAACTAAAAATAAACGTTTGGCCGTGAACTTCTTGCCATTTACCTAGCCGTAAAACAGTTCCGACACTTCCTTGAGGGTCGTGACTTCACACTTTTCACAGACCACAAACCACTTACATTTACCATCCAATCCCATTCTGACAAATATAACCCGAGAAAGATTTCTCACTTGGATTACATCTCGCAATTCACCACCGACATCCGCCACTTTGATGGCCCGAAGAATGCGGTGGCCGACATGCTGTCCAGACCTTCCCTCTCGGATTTTCACCTCCCACACGGGATTGATCTTGGTGCTATGGCGGCTGAATAACGACGTGTTGGATGCCCTGGCGACGAGTCTGTTGACAATCTTCAATTAGTTGACGTCCCATTGACCACCGGCACTGGCATAATCATTTGTGACGTATCGACTCCTTTTCATCGTCCTTATGTGCCTGCCTCGATGCGTCGAGCTGTTTTCAAACTCTCCACGGACTCTCCCATCCTGGGATTCGAGCCTCACAGAAGCTCCTCGCGGAAAGGCTCGTATGGCCTGGGTTGAACAAGGATGTGAAAGCTTGGACACGATCGTGCCTTTGCTGTGAACGTAACAAGGTTCAACGCCACAACAAGTCTCCATCGGGCACGTTCACCAGCCCCGATGCACGGTTCAACCATGTGCATCTAGATGTCGTAGGTCCTTTACCTCCATCCAATGGCTATACTCACCTTCTCACCTGCGTTGGTCGCTATACCCGTTGGCCGGAAGCCATTCCTTTACCGAATGTGCAAGCTGAGACCATTGTGAAAGCCTTCGTCAGTCGCTGGGTCGCCGTATTCGGTGCGCCATCCATGTTTACGACTGATCGAGGCGCGCAGTTTGAGTCCGCACTTTTCCAAACTCTCCTCAAATTCCTTGGCTGCACACGTATTCGGACGACGGCCTACCACCCAGCTGCCAACGGCATGGTTGAGCGTTTCCACCGCCAGCTAAGAACTGCACTGCGTGCCGCAGAAGATCCCGAAAACTGGTCAGACAATGTACCCGTTGCACTTCTTGACATTCGTGCGGCACTGAAGTCAGACTTGGACTGCAGCGCAGCCGAATTGGCTTTCGGCTCTACCCTCCGACTCCCTGGTGAGATGGTCACCCCAACCTCTCGTGGTGCCAAATAAACCCCCGAAAATTTAGTGCATCGTCTGTTACAATTCATGCGCTCGTTTTCCCCGGTTCCACCTCGAGCTCCATCGACCGAGCCTTATGTTGAAAAAGGCTTAGCCAACTGCATCCATGTGTTCGTTCGGTGTGATCGTGTGCGGAAGCCGTTAGAATCACCATATGAAGGACCGTTCCGTGTGCTTGCACGTAACAGCAAGACCTTTCGGATCCTGCGAGGTGACAAAGAGGACGTAGTCAGCATCGACTTGGTCAAGGCTGTTGTTGCAGAGGAGCCCTCGGACGGTCATAAGCACAAATAAATAAATAAATAATTTTTTATTAGAGACCCGTCGGGGTCCCATCAAAGCAAGTTAAAATAAATTTGCATGCGAGTTTTAGACGAGGTAGGCCGAATCGTTACAAAATGCAATTCATAGTTTCTGAATTAGTAGTCCATTGAAAAACATGATGATTGAGGGGTGAAAAAAAACTCCTTACAAAAAGTTAAAAATGATTGGATTAATTTTACAGGAGAAAAAAACCCCTCAATAAAAATAATGACAGAAAAATGCGAGCAGGACTGGCCTGTAGGTGGCGGTATATAACGTAATGTTGTCGGTCATCGTCAGGGTAGCAATAAATCTCAGCCTTGAGGGGTACGAATGTGGGTCAGACAGGACTGGCTTACATATGGCATTGTATACGGGATTCACAATTGAGATCGTCTGGGCCGGCTTGGTACGCCGCGTCAAAGAGGCCAGACGAGAGGAACCCAGATGCGATCGGCCACAACACGCGTCGAGCTCAGACGAGCAATGAGGAAGGGAGTTACAACCGAACTACTAGTAGACAGTGAATGCTGAGGGTTCCGCCGTGAGCGTCGACAGATCGCATGAGGTCGGAATGCGGGAGATGACATCAAAAACCGCGAAAATTGTCGCTATGGGGGAGAAGTGATAGCAGTGGATTTAGAAACCAATTCAAAACAGGGGTTTCTAATGATATAATTAAGAGTTACCACTTAATCTACCACTAAATCCCAGGAGGACCCTTCTCGAAGTCAAGAATCTGAGTGTTCGGGAATGAGACCGTTAACAGTGCCTTTATGCTTTCCGGTGTAAGATGGTTGCGTAATTTCGACTTGAATACCAGTAACTTAGGTGATAATCTAATTTCAGGCGGGAGATTATTCCAAAGGAAGGCATATTTGGAAGCAAAGAAGAGGGAGCGCTTAGATGTCGTACAAAGGGGCGGCGGAATCACCATGCAGGAGTTGCGCGTGGCATAAGACCGATCTCTCGGAGTGAGAGTGTCAATGAGCGGAAGACTGGAGCTAGAGTTGATGCGAAAAAGGAAGCAAAGACCAGCTTCGAGTCTTCTTACCAACAAAAACTTAATGTTCGCCAGCTGACATCTCTGAGTATAAGAAATACTGGACGAAGCTTGGGAGAACAGTTTCCGGGTGAAAACCCTCTGAACATTTTCGATTTTATTACGGTCGCATGCGTTCATTGAACCAAAGAAAGGACAGCAGAATTCGAGGACTGGACAAGCATGTGCTGACCCCATACCTCCTCCCACTACTTTTATACTTTCCCCACCTATCCCTCCGTACCGTATATTTCCTCTTCCTTCTTGTTCGCAGCATCAAACTGCAACCTCTTCCTCCACCCTTAACTTGTCCACTACAACACTTACTCAGCTGCCTCCAACAGTGCCTCCCGCATATATCACCCGCAGTGGACGTCACGTTCATTTTCCCGATCGTCTAGTTACTCATTTCTCCTAGACCTTTGTATGTCCTCCGGCCTCGTTCACGCCGCCCTCCGGTCTCGGAGGGGGGTACTGTGCTGAAGTACTTGACTACTTAACCTTTGACAATCTTGTCACGTTTGTTTTACTGTGGCATCTGTTTTAACGTGACGAAGACTCCGCCACTTGTAAGCTTCGCACCGCTTGCGTGCTCTCTGGTCAGGTCGTTGCACATTTCGAATATTAACTTTATCCACTTACTGGCCTTCCTTACCTCTCTCCGTTTATGAGGTTAGTAAGCAGTAGTTCGTTAGTTCGTGGGAAAGACATAATTTACGTCAGATTTTCGAAATCTTGGTTGTTAGACGGCTGTCCTCAAATGTTGACCTCATTCGCGATACGTTCTCATTGCCCTGACGGTTGCTTTTAAAGACGAAACCCCCCGTGTGCTGTCTGAGAAGAGGCTGTCACGTTCTCCATCGACATTCACACTTTAAACCTATTGGCGCCAGTCCTCTGTCTTGGCATTGCTACGATTCAGCGTATCAAAGGCCTTCGTCAAGTCCACGAAGGTGGATTCGCATCTCCTGGCTCTCCCGCTGCAGCTGGCGAACGGCAAACATCATGTCGGCAGTTCCGTGGTGTCGTCAGAAACCGCACTAGTTTTCCGGGAGGAGTCCTTGCAAGAGATGTTCGCTGAGGCGATTGAAGAGGGTGAGGGCGAAGATCTTACCGGCGATGTTGCGCAGCGAGAATCTCTGTGATTGTCGCAGACTTACTAGTTGACTTTGCGATTGTAGAAATGATCAATGGCTGCGTACTTCAAGTCCTGAGGAACTTGTCTACGGTGTCACATCGTCTGAAATAGCGTCCTGACTTGATCCACCAGGCCGGGGTCGCCGTGCATGTTGATTTTGGCCGGGATTGCGTCGGAGCCTGGTGCTCTCCGGTTAGAAAGTTGTTGCGCGTCACGGATGGGTTCTGGGAGGGAGACTAAGTGATATAGGTCAATGTTGATTTCCAATTGAGAGAGCCGGCCGATGGCGGCATCGGAGATTTTGTAGGGGCGGTTCGAGACGTTTCTGTAGTGCTCGCTCAAGTGTTTCAGAACGTGCCACTTCTTCGTCAAAAGCGTCTCTCCATCGGAACTGAAAAACGATACAGTTGCGCCGGTCGGGGTCCGCAGATCGTCTTGATTGCAACGAAAAAAACCGTGAGTCATTGCGGTTGGCGTATGTCTGGATCTCCTCGGAGTTGCGAGATATCCCAGAGTCCTGCATTCCTTGCAACTGTTGCTGCGTTAGGTGGCGATTTTGGTAGAAAGCCACTTTATTCGCATCGGTTGGGCGGTCGAGATAGGCTTCGTGCGACCTGTTCTTCTCGGTCGGCAAGTAACCGATGATTGAACTGTTGTCGTTAACCAGTCCTGGTGCTGATGATGTGCGCGGCCGAGGATAGACAGGACGGTCGAGTGAAAAGCGGCCCGTAGTCAGTACCATGGAGTCGCCACGGAGACGTTTTCATCTGCTGCTGACAGATCTTCTAGCTGCTGGGTAAGTTGATTTCTGAAATGTAAGTGGCGAGCAGGCAAAGACAGCAAAGCATTATTCATATTACTTGGAGGTAACTTATCTAGTGGCCTCCTGCCGGGCCTGTAAACGAAGCTTAACCTTGGAGATGACGAGGCGGTGGTCTATCCGGTCATCGGCGTCACAGATCGCCTTGGTCGCTATCACATTATGTCAATTACGCCGCCGAACGTGAACATAGCCCAGTAAACGCCTTCTCTCGCTAAAACCTTTGAAAAAATTATCGCCTTAAAAATTATCGACTTTTCCATAGCCAATCAAATTATTAGCCCTTCCCAGCATGGGCTTTTTACTAGTTCGCTCTTGTGAAACATGTCATTTGTCGTTTCTCATTCTACTTACCTCTCTTCGTAATGACCATCTATCTGTTGTTATTTATTTTGATCTTAGTGAAGCCTTTGATAAAGTGCCACATAAAAGACTCTTAGTTAAATTAGAAGCTATGGGAATTCGCAGTCCACTAATAGACTTTATCAAGTCATACCTGTCTAATCGGAAACAAAAGGTTTTGGTGGGATCTTCACTTTCCAGTGAAAGCCCTATTGTAAGTGATGTCCTAAAAGTCACCGTTTTATGTCCTCTTTTGTTTTTGCTTTACATAAATGATATCCCGGCAGCATTCAAACATTCTCGATCATTTATTTATGCCGATGATCTCAAATGTGTATGTTCCTTCAATAAATCGACGAGCCTTCATTGCCTGGAGCAAATCCACGCTGACTTGCTTGCTCTCTCAGGTTGGAGCTCAAAATGGCCAATGGAATTCTCTGCTTCTAAATGTCGCTATATGTGTTTTGGACCAGTGGTCTTTCAAGGCACACCTATGACTGAATGTACCATAATCAAGGATTTAGGTTTAAGGTACTCTAATAATCTTGATCTCTCGCCACAGGCCGACAGAGTTACAGTCAAAGCTGCCCAGATTTGGGGCTTTATTTCTTACAATTTCTATCTTCCTAAAACAAAATCAAGGCTCTATCATATGTTTGTACTTTGCATTCTCGAGTATTGTTGCCCATCCTTTGGTTTGATGAATGAGGCTAGTCGTTTAAAAATTGAAAATGTCCATAGACGTTTTTCTAAAAAAAACTTTTGGATAGGGACCATCCCAATATCTCCTACTCAAATAGATGCCGGCTAATTAACCTAAAATTTTTATGGGTTCGAATACTAGAAGCAGGCTTCTGTCTCCTCTTTCGCATTTAAAATAGTCCAAATCTTCCTCGGATTTCATCACTTACCCCTAGTAGTCGCCCATACATTCTTCGCAACTCGTCCTTGATTATACCTCCACCAGCTTCCTCCACTTCCAAGCGCTCTCTTTTTTCGTTTCCAGATATACTTTCCTCTGGAATAACCTTCCAATAAATATAAGATCTTCAGATACCCTACCTAACTTTAAGAGAAGGTTACGCAGTTGTATGAATACTGACTCGATTAAACTTTTATTTTCCCCAGCCCTCCCATACAACTTACTCTATGACACTGAGAAAGGGCCACCGGGTATTTAGGATGCAGCCATTAACTTTCCGTATCCGTTCACATTTCCTTCCTTTGTGAGTCGTATCGCTTCATAAGATCCCTCACCAGAAATTTTAATTTTTCAAATTTTTAAATTCATGCATCGTACCCTCACAGAATGCGCTCCATCGACGCTCTTGGCGAAACCTTCTGCATTCGCCATATACTAGTAGTCTGGTCGCATCTCCCTTGCCCCATCCTCGGATGGACTCGGATGAATGCAACCGACCGCATCTGGGTTCCTATCGTCTCGAGACTGGTTTTCAGTTTAACCACTTATTTGCCTTATCCAAGGCCACATGCAGGCCAGTCCTGACTGACCCGCCTTCTTACCCCTTCCTGAAATCCGTTATACAATGCCATATACAGGTGACATTTATTTCTGTCCTGACGATGTCCGATTATAATCCTTTAAATGCCGCCACGCGCAGACCATTCCTGCCCACATTTTTCTGTTATTGCTTTCTCATCGAGGGTTTTTTCTCCTGTAAAATTAATCCAACCATTTTTAAATTTTCATGTGGAATTTTTTTTTCACCCTTCGCTAATAATTTTTCTTAACGGACTACTATTTCAAAAACTATGCATTGTACTTTGTACAGATTTTGCCTACCTCGTCTAAAATTCGCATGTTAATTTATTTTTACTTGCTTTGATGGGACCCCGACGGTTCTTTAATAAAAATTATTATCATTAGTAGCTGCCAGTACCGCGATCGGGGGTGATCCAGGTGGCCTTCTTCCGCATCAGCAGGCAGTAGAATGTGTTAACCATAAGTGGGCTGTTTTCAGTGCAGATCCCCGGGTGAAGAAGGCTAATGTCGTTGCAGTCGGCGATTCCACGAGGGCCTTTAATTACCCGCCATGCAGCACGGTCTGTCCCGACGGGGGATTTGAAGTCATTAAGGACATTCAAGTTTTCTGCCTTCGGCACAGATTTCTCGGGGCGTGCAATTCTACGCAGAACTTGGTCTTTGCCTTGTGTGAACTGGTCCTTGTTTGCGCGTAGGCGGTGACGATGGTGGCGGATGTGCCTCCCCCCAAAGGAAGGCGGAGACTCCTCAGGCGATCGTTGCTGCTCTGTGGCAGACAGGGCAGGCATCTCAAGATGTGCTTTCGGATGGCAAAGGCGACGCCCGTGTCACGTCGTTCTGCCCTAGGGCGACCGCTCCAGAAGAAAATGCAGCCGGCATCCACTCCCCTATTTGGCCTTGTTCGGAGATACGTGTCTCCCTGAGTGCAGGGATGACCGCTTAGTAGCGCGCCAATTCCCGAGCAACGCCTCGCCGGCTATTGTTCTCCTCTAGGTTCTTAATTCCACCAGAACTTAATGTTGGCAGCCTCGTTGCATTGATTTATGCTGGCAAATTTCCAGTCCGTTGGCTGAAATCCTCGTCGTCACCACTTCTATACTTATGTTGAGCAGTAAAGCACATACGGATTCATGCGGACAATATTGTGTCTATGAGCCCTTTTCTTTTAAATAGGCTATGCGTTTGTAACCTGAGAGCAATCGGTGTCTTTTATGTCTTTGGACTTTCCTTACTATGCACTCTCTGTTCAAATAAATCATCGGGAAGCCGCCATTCCCAAAATTTCGCGATGTACTACTGGCGGGCTGCTGGCCTCAAGTAAATCCGTTTTTAATCAATTACTGTTCCAAGTTACCTTAAATTTTCCTCCCTTTGTGCTAAGGCGCTGAGATCCGCCCTAAAGCCGGAGCTTCAGATAGACACTTCGAAGGTGGAATCTCATGTTGTCAAAACTGTTTGGAAAGAAGGAAAGCCGCAAAGTATTGTTGTTATTTTACTCCTAACCATTTTTAGAAGAGAAGAAGTAGACTGCTTGTCTAGGAAGCGGTAATTTGATGCAGTGCCCCTTAGTTGAAGAACTTTAGCCGTTTCTAAGTGGCAAACGATGTTCGCTTTCCACTTACGTCCTTGATGGTATTTTGCAATAAAATCCATTTGCTGAAGACTTTTTATTTCTTTTTTTGTAAGAATTGGGTAGCCTGAGTCTTTAATCCACAATTTACATAGTGTCATTAGTGTTTTTTCGCTGTGGATATGTAATTCTTGTTCACCGAGTTTCTTGTGATGCAGTGGTTGCGCGCAACCACTTCAGCACAGTACATGTACTGCAATGCAACACATACCGACACGTGTCGGCATGCAAAAAAAGTCAAGCTCGTTAATTTATAATCTGTCTGATTACTTCTTAAACCACATCGGTTTTCGAATGCCGGCCATGTACGCTGTCATTTTTTTGCAACAATTCCGACAATCTGTTACTCGCTTCGAAAGACCGAATACCCCCATTACCTCATTGTTATGGCTCAATTGGCGTTAGTAACTTTATCATTGGAGGATGTGTGGTTTAACACTTCGAAGATAAGGAAGAGGAGGTCCTTCAAAGCGAAGGAAGGTATTAAGATGACCTCCATCGTCCACTATAGCGAACGAAGTTTGGTTCAGTCCTCTGCTCACCGCTGACATTGTGGAAAGGCACTTTCTAGAGATTTGGTTCCAAACTTCGGCAAGACTATGCAAGCTGCGTAGGAGTCGCCAGATGAAATGTTAATGTAGTCTTCCCGTCGGGCACGTTGCGGCGATAGCGGGGATCACAATTACAAGATGGGACACACTTCCGTCGGATTCTTTTGATTAGCTCACTTCCTTTACTACTTTCTTGCGAACCTTGATTTTAACGAACAGTATTCGCCGTGCACTCATATGTTTAGACTACGTGGGGTCAGTTTGCCATTTTTGGGCTTAATAATGGTATCCATCACTTGTAAGACACACATTAGCGTGTTTGCGAACTTAGGCGCGGTTGCGGGACATACACTGTCCTCTCAACCGGACATTATTTATGATGAAGAAAGAAGGCTGATCGAGCACCAGAACCATTTGTTGAATTGTCAGGCATTTCGAGCTCGTACAGAAGTTTATCGTCAGAGATAAAAGCAGCGACAGATCAGGCGGCATTTATGGGGAGGTGTTTGCCAGTCAACAATCGGAGACGCAGACGTTGAGATGGCTGTGCAGGGCTCTGTATGCCGGCGCTGAATCGGCACATTAATTTTCTGAGTTCCTATCCGAGGCACCTACTTCAACCAATTCTCGCCTTGTCTTTTTTCCGGCGTGGGCGATTATCTTCATGGTTACGAAGTCAAATTCGTGACCCGCTTCGAAGCTATTGGCGTTCAACTGACACAAGCTAGTCCCGATGTAAGTAATGATCAGTTTGTGTTCTAAGGTAGGACGGCCGCCGTCACACGACTACACAAGGAGTCACGGGGACTTCTGTCAAAGAGATCGCAAAAAATGATTTGTAGTCTTGATTTCCGGGGCTCCCGAGTCCGAAATCCGAACTGTGTAGGGGCTCCTGGTGTTTTTGTCCTGTTGCAGTTGACTGTGCCTAACAGACCTCGCGAAACAACCAATTCCGTTGACGGCGTTCTATTGTTGATCGCCGACGATCCGTCTGGTTTCTCGTTCAACGTCACAGGACTGTGGCCGGAGAGCGGTTCGTCCCTCATGGATACTGCGGCATTAATTGCAAAAGGATTACGTGGTTCTTATCACTACGTCTGCTTGAAGTCTTGGTGCAGATTTATCCTGGAAGTCCGGTTATTAAGGTGTTTCATAATGGCATATTCCCGAATTCATGGTATGGGTGTTACTTGGAAAATCGTTTTGGGACAAGTCTTTTCAAGGCTCTCTAGCTTCACTGAAGCTGGATGGCACGCTGCCGACCCCACCACGTTTGCACTTGTTTATTTAGCGTTTTCCGATTTTTTGGGACTTGCCGCGGAAGCTAGCTGTTCCAACTCTGGCCTCACCGGATGCCCATAGTTTGTAACATCATATGATTGGTATAGGTTTTCCGCACCTTTAATACCTATATAGCATTGCCTGATGTTTTGGCCTCCAACGGCACTAGGCTTCAGCAATTTGATATGCAGAAAAAAGCATGCTTGGACTGTTCGTGTTTGACCACTTGAACAATAATCTGTTCGAGCCTTCATAACGCGCACTTATTTTCGTTAACAGTCTTCTGGTATGACCTGGGGACATAAAAGGTGGGAGAATCTGTAAACTGCGCTTTGATTTTCCTGCAAATATTTTTTTATAACAAACTAGCCGGACCCCGCCACGCTTTGCTGTGGCTCAATCTGATGAATTGGGAAATAAGGGAATGAGGAAGGAGCACGTTCACAATTAAGAAAAATGTAAGGGCCACCGGTTGGCGGTACGTATTGTGTGCGAAACCCAGGATTGTCCATCTAGCCGCTGTCGAAGGCAGGGCAATTGTTTGCTGCACCCAGTCGCGATGGAGAATTCTGAAAAAAAAGTGGTGACGGCTGCCTTTATTCACGTACCTACAAATGTACCTAATTCATTTCCCGGAATGGCAGCTTTCCACGTTTATGTGAGCTGCGTTTTACTTTTAAAAGCAAAGACGAATACGAACCCGCCCAGCGGTTACCGACTTCTAAGTCACCGATTCACATTCGTACGGTTGCCACTTTGCCGATGTCTTCCGCTGATCATTTTCGGTATAAGGGACTTCCGTCTATCTTGCCGGAGGAGCGGGGGGGGGGTTGAAGAATTGGGATTCAGTGCATCCAAGGTCCATATATCATATTCTTCGTCACAACTTCATGAAAATCATTGTCGACGTCGATATCAGGTAATTGGGCGCATACTGCGTCGTCGATTTCGTTGGAAGCGATCTTGTTATAGAGCCAGATCAGGACATGTACATGGGCAGTCCCCTCTTTTGTCATTCCACCTAATACATATAATTGGTTATGTGAGAAGCAATCCGTTTGCCGATCCAAAACCGCACAATTCTAAGAACTGGCCCTGAGCTTTGCTGATCGTGAATGCAAACGCCAGTCGAATGGAGAAATGCAGTATCCTAAATCGAAATGGCATGTCAGTTAGAATCAGTGGAATGCGAGGAATAAGGATATGCCCTCCTTTAAAAGGTCCTGTGGAGATATTGGATTCCTGTACGTTGTTCACTAATGGGTTTACTGCAAGCCACGTGCCGTTGGGTAAGCTTCGGCTGGTTGATTTCTCGCAGCATTATAACCGGCACACCGCTTTTCAATCACAGTAACCGCGCCATCGTCCCTGGCAGATTAAGCGAATTCAAAATTTCTGTGTGACAATTAACTACCTCGCATGCGTGCATGGGAACTGTCCCGCTTTGTACCTTAGACTGAATAGTATGGTTAAGTAGGTAGACTTCTTGGTTCTTGGCCGCAACAATAGCTCGTTCGCTCAGGCAATATGATTCGTATAATTGGGTTGGATATTGGAAAAGCCCTTTTCAACCAAGTCTTCTTCTGACGATACTAAATTTCCGAAGGTAGGAGGTAGTGAAATGCGTCCTGTACTCGGATCAACTGGCACCGATCCGTTCCCATTTGCCGGCAATTGGTTTGAGAATATCTCAGCTGTTCAGTCGTATTGCAGCTGGACACGCATATCCGTAGTTAATTTTAACGTAGAGTATTTCCGGCAGGCATATATTTCGTCGGTTGGTGTCGATCGAGGAACTACAGGCAGTGTTTGCCCGAGTCTCCTGCAAACAGTAGCAATGCGTCTCCAAATGGTCTTCTGTTTCCATGCAAATCTTGCAATAATCGGTCAAGGACCTCCAGCATTTTTGTGTGCCAATGTGCATTCATCCCAAACAATAAGTTTGCATTTCTGCAGTAGTTTTCCCATGCCGGATGTCTTGGAAATGTCGCACGTGGAGTTCCAATGAATTGCACGTTCAACGGCAATTGTAAAGCTGAATGAGCAGTTCTTCAAAGGGGTAGCAAGTTCGCAGCTATTCCGGACGACAGAAGAACTAAGGCTATGTCAATTTTAGACCGAAGTGCTGCCAGAATCAATAGTAGTAGTAGGAACGTTTTTACCAGTCCCTTTCTGGCGCATCCAAAAAGATTTCTCCAACCCCGCTATTGGCAGACCGCATTGTTTAATCGTAAATACCATCCTGCTCCAGTGTTAGCTTAGGAATGCTTGATTGCAGATAAGACAGAAGATCAACCCTGTGGTAGGTTTGCTCACGCCGCAAATC